AAATCCTAAGGAAAGGATTTTTCATAAAAGATGCTTGCGACAGAGGAAGGAAGGAGACTCCTGGTCAGGGATGCTTGGGGGCCAGACCCCTTTGTCAAGCCAGGGCAAGCAAACCCCAGGGCAGGTGGCCACAGCCCCTGGCCCTGCTGTGGGAGCATCCTGGCCTCGCTCTGTGTCCCACAGCCTCCAGCACAACTCCATCAAGGAGGACGGCGCCGCCTTCCTGGCCGAGGCCCTGCTGACCAACCACCGGCTGCTGACCCTGCAGTGAGTGACCAGGCGTGGTGTCCCCCCCTCCAGCCCCCCAGCAGGGCGGGTGCCACCTGTGGGGACGTGGCTCTGCCATTCTGAGGGGCCCCCTGCCTTTGCAGCCTGCAGAAGAACGCCGTGGGAGCCCAGGGAGCCCGGACCATGGCTGAGGCGCTGAAGCAGAACTGCAGCCTGAGGGAGCTGATGTGAGCAGGGCGTGAGGGGAGGGATGGCACTGCCAGGGCCACATCCCCTGGATCTGTGGGCAGGAAAGGGGCAGGGCCGTGTGACAGGCAGCAGGGACACTGCTGGCTCTGCCCAGCGGGGCTGGTGGGGATGGAGAGAGCAGAGCCTTGGCAGCAGCCCTGTGGGGATGCTCTCTGCACCTCCAGGTGTGCAGGAGCCACGTGAAGGAAGGAGAAGCTGTTTCCCCTCTGGCAGAGGGAAGCAGCAGGGCTGCAGGCCCTGAGGAAACATTAAAAGCTATTCCAGCTCAAAGTAGCCCCAAGAACAGAGGTGTGTGCAGGTGGGGAGTGAGGTGGCAGCGAGTTCATGCTGGTTGGTGCAGCAGGAAGGGCCTGAGGGAGGTGAATCCATTGCTGGCAGCTCCAAACTTCCTTGTGACAGTGTTCACAGGGGTCTGAGGATGAAGGAAGAGATGATCTGACTCCATATTTCAGAAGGCTTGATTTATTATTTTGTCAAATATATTATATTCAAACTATACTAAAAGAATAGAAGAAAGGATTTCATCAGAAGGCTAGCTAAGAATAGAAAAAGAAAGAATGATAACAAAGGCTTAATCTCAGACTCTGTGTCTGAGCCAGCTGACTGTGATTGGCCATTAATTAGAAACCACCACATGAGACCAATCAAAGATGCACCTGTTGCATTCCACAGCAGCAGATAATCATTGTTTACATTTTGTTCCTGAGGCCTCCCAGCTTCTTAAGAGGAAAAATGCTAAGGAAAGGATTTTCCATAAAAGACGTCTGTGACCCTTCCTCTTCTGTCTCAGACTCTCAAGCAACTCAGTGGGAGACAGCGGCTCCATTGCCCTGGCTGAGGCTCTGAGGGTGAACCACAGCCTGCAATGCCTGGAGTAAGTTCCCCCTCCCTGCCTGGACTCCTTGATAACAGAGCCCAGCCTCGTCCTGCCAGCAAAATCTGCCACCCCTCAAGCCCTCAGGCCCTCCCCATGTCTGTGTCACTGCACATTCCCTGGATGTGCAGGCTGGACACAATGTGGCAGCTCCAGCAGCAGCCAGGCTGGAGGGACACTGACAGAATCAATCCTAAAACCCAGTGATGACTTTTTATTCTTGGAGGAAATCGGTAGCTTTGGGTGTTCTCTCTCTCACAAAAGTGACGGGAATGGGCTGAGGAGGGAGGAAATGGCTGGGGCCTGGCAGAGTCAGGCTGGAATGGTACCACCTTCACTCGCCATGGGAACAGGCCCTGCACAGGAGGGCTGGTGGCTCCTGCTGAGTGGCTGTGTCCTGGTTCTGTCCCTGTGACCAGGATCCCAAACCCATGGGAGCCACGTGCCCAGCTGAGCCAGCAGCCACGGTGACAAGGGTGGGGACAAGGGTGCCCCAAAGTGCTGCAGACCCTGTCCCCTGTGCTTGCTGGGGCCAGCAGGAATGGCTGATCCCAGCCTGGCTGCTCCCAGGGCTGCTCCTTCTGCCTTGGTTTCCCTGTTCCCTGTGGCTGGGAGATGCCCTTTTCTGGGTGAAATGGGCACTGTCCACCCCAGCCATGGCCCTGCAGCCCAGCTGTGATGCCAGGACTGGCCCATCCTCACACATCCCCTGTTTGTCTCAGTCTCCAGAGCAACTCCATCAGCAGTGCAGGGGTGACAGCGCTGACAACAGCTCTCTGCTCCAACAGGGGACTCCTCAGCCTCAAGTGAGTGACAGTCCCTGCAGCCACCCTGGCTGGGCTGGGACCTGGGAGCTTCTCAGAGCTTGTGCCTGGTTGTTTCCATCTCTGAGATGCTTGAAAGCAGCTTTGGTTCCTCCTCCAGCTGTGAGGAACTTCTCTGTGTCTTTATCTTTCTCCCTTTGGGACAATATTCATTCAGCCATGTCTTTGGAATGACAGGATGGCAGCAGGAGTGGGAGGCTGGCAAAGAGCCCTGATGGGCCCACAGGGAACACAGGGGCTGGAGCTACAGGAGCTGATGGGGGCGGTCTCAGACAAACTGCTCTGCTCAGTCCATGGCCTCAGCCCAGAGCAGGAGGGGAAGGGGCTCAGGGGGAGCAGCTGCCCCAGCCCTGCCTGGCTGCCCCTCCCCAGCCCCGTGTCTCTCCCCAGCCTCAGGGAGAACTCCATCAGCAGGGAGGGGGGCCCGGCCATCGCCCGCGCCCTGCGCAGCAACAGCACCCTCAAGAAGCTGGAGTAAGTCCCATGGGGGCCCCAGGAGGGCACCCAGAGCACCCCATGCTGTCCCTGGAGCTGTCCTCAGCTTCTCCTGTGTGACCTGAGCCCTGTGTCCCTGCAGCCTGGCGGCCAACCTGCTGGGTGACGACGGGGGCCAGGCCATCGCCTCGGCCATCGGAGAGAACCGGGCTCTCACCTCCCTCCAGTGAGTGTCCCTGGGCCCTCAAACCCCGGCATGGACACGGGCAGGGACACTGCTCCTGGCCCCCAGCCCCGCCAGGCTGGGCCATGGCACCCTGGGAGCTGTGCTGTGACAGCCTGGATGGGCCCACAGGGTCCTGCACATCCCTGGGTGGGGGTGGATGGCTGTGGAGCCTGGCTGGATCGGGGCATGCTCACAGCCCAAGGCTTCACCTCTCATTTTCTCCTGTTTGCAGCTTGCAGTGGAATTTCATCCAGGCCAAAACAGCCACAGCCCTGGCACAAGCACTACAGTCCAACAGCAGCCTGGTCAGCCTCGAGTAAGTGGGGACACAGGTGGTCCTGGCTCCTACTGATAGCTCATCCAGTGCCACCTCTGCCATGGCAGGGACACCTCCCACTGTCCCAGGCTGCTCCAAGCCCTGTCCAGCCTGGCCTTGGGCACTGCCAGGGATCCAGGGGCAGCCACAGCTGCTCTGGGCACCCTGTGCCAGGGCCTGCCCACCTCGTTCTTCCCAATATCCCATCTAACCCTGCCCTCTGGCAGTGGGAAGCCATTCCCTCTTGTGCTGCAAACTCCTGTCCTTGTGCCTGGTTGTTTCCACAACTGCTCTGAGATACTGAAAAGCAGCTTTTATCCCTCCTCCAGGTGTGAGGAACTTTTCTCTATCTTTATCTTTCTCCCTTTGGACCATATATTCATTCAGCCACATCTTGGAATGAATCTCTGCAGATCCTTGTCCCAGGTCCCTTTCCAGCTCTCCTGGAGTCCCTTTAGGCCCTGTAAATCTGCTGTGTCCCCTGGCTGGGGATGCTCAAAGTGCCTTGTAGTCCAGGAGCTCTCCCAAGCCATTTGGGGATGCTGGGCCCTGTGCTGGCCCTGTCCCTGTCCCTGCCCTGGTTCCAGGCCAGGGGCACACCCAGCCCTTCTGTCCCAGCCTGCAGGAGAACACCATCGGCGACGAGGGCATGGCCGCGCTCTCGGCTGCACTGAAGGTGAACACCACGCTGGCAGATCTGCAGTGAGTACCCAGGCTGCAGCAGGGCCCTGCTGTCACAGCCCAATTACCCTCATTAACATCCCATGGCCACCTCAGGACAGTGCTGAAGGTCCCTGTGTTCCCTGGCAGCCTGCAGGTGGCTTCAGTTGGTGCAGCTGGTGCCCAGGCCCTGGCAGAAGCCTTGATGGTCAACAAGAGCCTGCAAGTCCTGGAGTAAGTGGTGGCTCCGTGGTGCCCAGGGCTGTGCCACGGGTCCCTGGGTGTCTGAGAGCCCTTGGCTCAGCTCTGCTCCTGCTCTCCATGATCTCCCAGAGCTGTCCCTGGGTGTGGTCACTTCTCCCTGTCCATCCTCCTGTCTGTGCCCCCCGGGCTGTTGGGCTGTCCTTCCTCACCTTTCCCTTGTTTGCAGGGAACTGTGGGCTGTCCTTCCTTCCTCACCTTTCTTTCCCTTGTTCCAGCCTGTGGGCTGTCCTTCCTTCCTCACCTTTCCCTTGTTTGCAGCCTGTGGGCTGTTAGGCTGATGCTTGTTTAGCTGACCCTACTAGCAAGTAATATAAAGGAAGTATGGAGGGTTTTGATTCCTCTAGTGTAGGTTCGATTCCTGCTTTTCTAAGTACTAGGAATGAGAGGGCTGGTATACCTCCATGTTCACTTTACCATAGTGAACATGCCTTANGCCCTGAGGAGCGGCACCCTGGCCGGCATGCTCACCCCCATCAACTGCTCTGCCCTGGCTTACCTCCTGCAGGTGTCTGATGTGTGCCTGGAGGAGGTGAACCTGTCCAGCTGCCTCACCTACAATGTGTGTAAGAGGCTGCTGTCCCAGCTCCTCTTCTGCCACAGCCTCAGGTGGGTCCTGCTGGGATTGCACCGGGAGGAGCAGAGCGAGGAGAGGTGCCAGGCTGTGACTGTGCAGTCACAGATTGGGTTGGGTTAGAAGGGAACTTAAAACCCATCAGTTCCATGGGCAGGGACACCTCCCACTGTCCCAGGCTGCTCCCAGCCCTGCCCAGCCTGGCCTTGGGCACTGCCAGGGATCCAGGGGCAGCCACAGCTGCTCTGGGCACCCTCCCAGGGAAGAATTTCATCCTAAATTCTAATCTAATTCTCTCCTCTTTTAGTTTAAACCTGTTCCCTGTTGTAATTCTCCTCTAAGTACTGGAGGCTGCAGTGAGTTCTCTCTCCCCTGTGACTCACAACCCCAGGTCTCAATGGAGACTTGGGTCCAACAAATGTTGTCCACCTGCAGAAGGGGTGGCACTGGGTCAGCTCTGCTTCTGTCCTTGAGCTTCTCCACCTGGGACAGGCAGATACCATGGGAGGATGATCCTTTCCCCACTTTGTTCTCCAAACCCCTACTCTTGCTCTTTCCTTGTGTGTCCTGCAGGCTGGACAATAACCAGTTTAAGGACGATGTGATGGAGCTGCTGGGCAGTGTGCTGAGTGGGAAGGACTGCCAGATCCAGAGGCTCAGGTAGGACCTGGCCCAAAGTGGGTGGGAGGTCCTGGGGATGCAGTGTGGAGCTGGGGGCACTGCAAAACCAGGGTGAGGGTCCCCCAGGAATGTGTCTCCCCCTGGCTCCCCAGGGTGCCCAAGGACAAGGACAGCCCCACACGATCCCCTGTGCCCAGGCACAGTCACTTTACCCCAAAATTGTCTTGCCCAGTCTTCCTGGAACTGCTGCCTCCTCACTGTTCCTGAAACATGTCAGTAAATCCTTGGGTTATCCTAACAAACCACTTCCCAGGGTCACAGCAGGTCCCTGGACACTCGAGGCCCTGCATGGAGCACCTGCTGCAGGGAGGGGACAGGCTCCTGACCCCCATACAGGGAGATGCCTCATCCCAGACAGATGGGCTCCCACTTTCCCCACCTCCTCCTCTTCCTCAAGGCTGCACAGAGTCCCCCATGCTGCCATCCAAGCTCCTTCAAGGGACACAAATGAATTTTATGTCCAGAAACGGTGTCCTTGCAGTCCCTGCCTGGTGTCCACCCCAGGAGAACATCCATCACTTTGCTTGAACCAAATGCTCCCCATGGCTCTTCCCTGCTCACCCATCCCAGCTGCCTCCTGGGACATGCCAGGCTCTGTGCCAGTCTCTTTCTCCTCTGGAAAAACACCCAATTTTCCTTTTTTTTTGGCAGCTTGGCAGAAAATCAGATCAGCAACAAGGGAGCCAAAGCTCTGGCCAGGTCTCTGCTGGTGAACAGGAGCCTGATGGTGCTGGAGTAAGTGTCCCCCTGCCCAGCCCCTGTGGTGCCCCCATTCCCAGTGGGAACCATTCCCTGCCCATGGCTGGGCTGGATCCCACCCCCTAAAGCCACCACCACGAGCTGCTGGCCTCATGGCCCACCCCAGCAGTGCCATGTGGAGGCATCTGGCTTAAGCTGGGCCTGTGCCAGTCTGGCTTTGCTAACCTTGGCTTTTCTGCTGTCCCGCCCCAGCCTGCGGAGCAACGCCATCGGCCCCACCGGAGCCAAAGCCCTGGCTGATGCTCTGAAAAAAAACCAGATCCTGCTCTCCCTGAAGTGAGTCTCAACCTCTGGAGCATCTCCTGAGCAGATGCCCAGGGAAGGGCCCTTCCAGCCCTCTTCTGTGCCCCTGGGGTTTTGCCAAGTTCACAGGGCAGCACATGGGGACAGCCTGGGCACACACGAGTGCAGCTGGCACAGACCCAGGGGCTGGGGCACATCTGGGGCAGAAATTTGGGGTTCTCCTGCCTCTTGGGGCAGTGAAGGGAGGGCTGGGGCTGCAGTCCAGGTCGAGGTCCTCTCTGTGCATGGGATCTCCCAGGTGCTGTTTGGTGGAGGAAGGAAAATCCCATGGGAGAGGAGTGTGACCGTGTTCACAGGGGTCTCAGGCTGAGGGGAGAGATGAGGATCTGACTCCATGTTTCAGAAGGCTGATTTATTATTTATGATATATATTACATTAAAACTATACTAAAAGAATAGAAGAAAGGATTTCATCAGAAGGCTAGCTAAGAATAGAATAGCAAAGAATGATAACAAAAGGTTTGTGGCTTGGCTCCCAGTCTGAGCCAGCTGACTGTGATTGGCCATTAATTAGAAACAACCACCTTGGGCCAATCCCAGATGCACCTGTTGCATTCCACAGCAGCAGATAATCATTGTTTACATTTTGTTCCTGAGGCCTTTCAGCTTCTCAGGAGGAGAAATCCTAAGGAAAGGATTTTTCATAAAAGATGCTTGCGACAGAGGAAGGAAGGAGACTCCTGGTCAGGGATGCTTGGGGGCCAGACCCCTTTGTCAAGCCAGGGCAAGCAAACCCCAGGGCAGGTGGCCACAGCCCCTGGCCCTGCTGTGGGAGCATCCTGGCCTCGCTCTGTGTCCCACAGCCTCCAGCACAACTCCATCAAGGAGGACGGCGCCGCCTTCCTGGCCGAGGCCCTGCTGACCAACCACCGGCTGCTGACCCTGCAGTGAGTGACCAGGCGTGGTGTCCCCCCCTCCAGCCCCCCAGCAGGGCGGGTGCCACCTGTGGGGACGTGGCTCTGCCATTCTGAGGGGCCCCCTGCCTTTGCAGCCTGCAGAAGAACGCCGTGGGAGCCCAGGGAGCCCGGACCATGGCTGAGGCGCTGAAGCAGAACTGCAGCCTGAGGGAGCTGATGTGAGCAGGGCGTGAGGGGAGGGATGGCACTGCCAGGGCCACATCCCCTGGATCTGTGGGCAGGAAAGGGGCAGGGCCGTGTGACAGGCAGCAGGGACACTGCTGGCTCTGCCCAGCGGGGCTGGTGGGGATGGAGAGAGCAGAGCCTTGGCAGCAGCCCTGTGGGGATGCTCTCTGCACCTCCAGGTGTGCAGGAGCCACGTGAAGGAAGGAGAAGCTGTTTCCCCTCTGGCAGAGGGAAGCAGCAGGGCTGCAGGCCCTGAGGAAACATTAAAAGCTATTCCAGCTCAAAGCAGCCCCAAGAACAGAGGTGTGTGCAGGTGGGGAGTGAGGTGGCAGCGAGTTCATGCTGGTTGGTGCAGCAGGAAGGGCCTG